AGCCTCTTGCCTCCATCACTCCAACCCCTCATAGCATCATTCCACGACCACGGCTGGGTTGGGGTAGAAGGCACGAGACCAAGGATGGGACTGGGGAAGATTCTAGAGGGAGGATGGGACGGGGTGCTTATTAATTCATGGGCCTGGGTTTGTCCCCCCTGTTTCCACTCCGGGGCCCTCTTGATGAAGCCTTGAAATGTGGTGTCTTTCCATCCTAATATTTGTGTGCTCCCCTCCCCTCTACTCACCAGCCCCAGTTCTGCATGCCTACCAAGGCCTCCTCCTCCCACACCCGTCCGCACCCACCCCAAGCTCCACTTAAACCCCTTTTCCTCATCTTAGCCCAAGAAGAAGCTGAATGCACCCTCAGACCGGGCCACACCCAAGATCGTGCCTTTTGATCTTCTGCCTGAGACTGAGCCTTTTGACCTGAAGCCTGAGACAGTGCCTGACCTCCCACCCTTTGACCAGACGCCTAGGACCCTGCCCTATTACCCAGAGCCCACTGGGCCTCTGCCCACCCCTGAGGAGCCGACAGCCGGTGGGGGTGCTTAGGGTCTCCTGGCTCACGTGGGGCCGTGGGCGTGGCATGTCATGAATCCAGTCCACCACCAGCTCACTGCTTAGCAGTGGCCAGTCTGGAGTGGCCAGTCTCTTCTAAGCCACTGCCCCTTGTGAGTGGGTGACGGGTACTGTGCAAACACTCACATTATGGAATGTTCAGGCAGTCGGGTGGGAGGTCACGGGAAAGGGCGTTCCTCTACTGCTTGGCTTCCATCTTAATAGTAGATGCTCCAGACACCTTACCGGAGTTGCACCCACTTCTGCCTGCATGAGATTGCCTGCAACATCCATGCTTCTGTGTTTTTCTTAATTTATTTAATTGGAGGACAATTACTTTACAATATTATGTTTTGCCATAGCTCAACACGAATCGGCCATAGGTATACACGTGTCCCCTCCATCCTGAACCCCGCCCAGGCTTCTGACAGACCTTCCCTCCCACTTCCACCTCCTCCTCAGGGACAAGCCAGTTTGGCTCGAGGGCCCGTTTTACAGAGGGCCGTCATGAGGCCCAGACCAGGGGTCTGTTCCATGCCCTCTCCACGCCCCTCCATGCAGCTGGGGAAAACACACTTATTTTTTCCAGTTTTTTTTTTTTTTTTTTTCCAGAAAATGTTTTGCAAAGAGATCCGTTATGTTTGCCAGATCCTGCCTTTGGCAGGGCACCCAAAAGCTGCCAACTCAGAGAGGCCAGGAGGAGGTACACTTTTGCTGGATCTGGCCTACCTATGGCACAGTGTTTGTGTTTTTTTTTTTTCACATGATCAGTCTCCTAAGGAGTCCTTTTAGACATTTTTCTTCCTAATTGTCCTCTTCCCTGTGAAATTTTAACACTATAGATATACTGTATACATCTGGACTCCCCCAACACCCCACCCAAGAACCAACTTCCACCCACTTTGGGGCAACATCCTCCCACATGCTAGAGTGTCATGCTAGAGCAGAAAAGAAGGTCCCTTTTGCCTTCAGTGTTTCTCACGCCCTTGTCCTGACAACCTAAAGTAGGGGTCCTGAGTTTTTAACACTTCCCTATCTCTCATCTCTCCCCTAGTCTGCACCCTCCTCTGACACACTCTGAGCAGATCCCAGGTCTCCGAATGACCTCACCAGTGTCTTCTCTGGTCATTCCAGGCAGTGGTTGGGAACAGAACTGGCTAGCTCTAAGTCAAGGAAGGCCCTACCCAGAGCCATATCATACCCCTTCTCCCTGACAAATGTGAAGTGCCTGGCCAAGGACCAGGCACGCAGTAGGTGCTCAATTAAATCATATTAAAAACCTTCCTAAGGCAGTGGAGCTTAAGTTTATATAGTGAGGTCGGGGAGAGGAGAGGAAGGGGCTGGGAGCTGTCTTACGGCTCCTCTAAATTCATCCCAGACTGGTGCTTTCCTGGGTTGGGGAGCTGTGTGTGCTTGGGGATGGGGGTCGAGGGGAGACAATGGAAGCTGTGCATGCTTTTGTTCAGACCTGGTCATTAAAGCTAACTCTGGAAACCAAGCCTGTTGGGACTGGTGGTTTTGTTTAATAAAAATATAGAAACAGAACAAGCAGAGCTCTCCCTTCTTGCCACCCTGAGGCCCCTCCTATGACTTAGGAGCTCTGCCAGGGAAGTAGGGGTGGGACAGGGGTGCCCGGCCTCTGTGCCCAGGGTTGGGGGAGGTGCTTTGGGATTCTGCTGCTGGTTGTTGTAGCAACAGGCCAACTGGGTGGGCCCAAGACAGCACTCCAAAGCTGTGAGTCATAGGGGAAACCTGGCTTGGAAACAGGGAGAAAAGACAAAATCCATTAATGGAGGGAAAAAGCTAAAGTCATAGTGGTATACCCTCTCCAGGGCCAATTCACTGGATATTATCTCGGACTTAGGTCAAATGGTTTCTTCCCTATCCCCTGACCTTCCACCAAGAAAGCAGTTCCTCTGGTGTAAGCCATTGCACTAGAGGAAGCCTCACAATGAAGGGCAATATATATATATATATATTATACACACACACACACACACACACACACACCATTCTAGTCTGGCAGAGACGACTCCAAATCCTCCTCTCACTGGGATTGCTCCCTGATGTTGTATTTGAGACCTTTCATCAGGCACTAGGAAGATGGGATTGGCTACAAGAAGTCTGGAACTCTCTCCAGCCTTGTTCACAGTTCAAGCTTTATCTAAGAAGCCAGAGGCCAGGAAAACCAGCCAGCTCAGGCTTTAGGGGTTGGACAGAGCAGAGGGGAGAATCAGGGATGCTGGGGTGGGGCACAGAGACAATGTGGATCTGTTTTCCAGCAGCAGGGACTGTTTCCTGGCTCTTCCCCACCCATCACGCTTAACCCTTCCCTTAATTCATCCACATTGCCTGAGCTTTAGTGAAAGGAAGTGTTCTCCTCCTAACTTTGGTGGTGTGGGTGGATTTTTAGACTAAGAGGCTGTGAAGGAGAAATCAAGAGCTGACAGTTTTTGATGCTAGGGCTGCCAGTGAATTCTGGGTGGATATGAATTAAGAAGTAACAGGGAGTTTAGATGATAATCCTAAAATGTTGTTTAAGAGAGAGGACTCTGGTAGCAGGTGGGGAGGTGATTACACAAGGAGACCCAAAGTGTACAACTGGGAATCAGAGGGACTGCTAAGACAGGCTGAGACCCTCCCACACTCAGAGTGAGGAAAATACCCCTTCAGGTCCTCTTCGAGTGATAAGAAGCAGAGGGATGGATAGAATGCTGCAGAATGCCCACCACAGGGCCAAGCCAGCTGTGGCAGGTGGAGACTACAAGTCCCAGCATGCCCTGAGCCCAGGTCACCTTGCCTGCTGGGAGGTGTAGTTGAGTAATGAGAGCCTGAGATGGCTTGGTGCCCAGCAGAGCTGGTGCCCAGTTTGGGAGAAGAGGTGAAGCCAGCATTCCCTCTTTGTCCCTGCTAATGATATTGACAGGGAGGGAAGGAAGTTGGGAGGTGTTCCTAGTTTTCAATGTAAACCAGGAAACTCTGTAGGGATGTAGATGGGAGGGAAGAGGAAAGAGGTTGGGGGCTGGGGAAGGAATTTCTATAGCAGGTGGTGCAGAGATACCAAACAGCAAACACATATGTGTACGTGTTTGTGTGTGTTTATAGGAGGAGTCAGTTTATGTTGCCTCATTTTTCTCAGATGGGGTTTTCTTACAATTCTGCGAAACGATCTTCAGAAAACCTATTCCCTATCATTCCTTTGTACAATGTACCTAAAGAAGAGAGTCTGGGTCGAAGAGACTTTTGGGTTTTGTCTTTTGGGCCAAAAACAAACCCATTCTGGGTTATGTCCTCTTTTCCTTTCTGGGCTCAATCTCCCCCACCTTCTGCTGAGAGGTGATCCTGAGATTCTGAAATGTAGGTCCAGAGCCAGGATCTTGGAAAATCTTCCCGGAATGGAAAACAGGGCTGGTGCTGGGTCTTCCCGGGAGAAGAACTGGCTCTGAGATCTAGGATCTCACCATCCTACCCCTGGCTCTTGAGCTCCTGTTTGGGGTTGGGGGCAGGTTGTGGTGAAGCAAGAATAGAAAAACAGTCCCTCCTTTCCATTCCAAGGCAGGGATGTCAGAACCAGAAGAAACCTCCAGGTTGGGAAGAAAACACGTTCTCGCAGCCAGCTTCTTCCTCTTTCCTCAATTTCTACATAGGGGTGGAGAATGACCATTGGTGGAGCCAAACCGTATGGGGACAGGGAGGAGGTCATTAACTCCCCTTCCCTAATACTGGTTCTTCTGAAATTATACGAAGTCTGGGAAACGCGCTCCCTTGAAAATAAACCTGCCTTCAAGTTACCCTACTTCGGGGTCGCCTGAGATCGGCTGTGAGCTCACCCCTCAAACTAAACTGCCCAAAGCCTTTTGGGCCTGGCTCGGGCAGTGTGGGGCTCTGTGCACCAGAGGGCGCTCTGACCATTTCCAAAGTTCTATTGTGATCTCTGCGACGCAAAGGGTAAGAAGTTATTTAATATGGGTGGTTGCGGGGCTCGAGGAGCGGGTTGGAGAGCCGCAGAGATACTTGACCGAAGTGCGAAAACAGAATCCAGATTCTGATCCGAAGCTCGGTTCCCTCTTCGCTCTGTATGTGTGCTTAGTCGCTCAGTCGTGTCCGACTCTTTAAGACCCCAGGGACTGTAGCCCGCCAGGCTCCTCTGTTCATGGCGATTCTCCAGGCAGGAATACTGGAGTGGGTTGCCTTGCTCTTCTCCGGGTCTACTTACTATTCATTCAACAAATATTTGAGTGCTCACGAAGTGTTCAGCTCGGTGCCAGGCGCTGGGGATACCAGCGCAGAAGTCCAGGCCGATTTCACAGGTACCACGCACTCGCCAGGATCACAGGTGCTAATGCCCGGCCCCGGGTTCGCCCAGCGTCCCCCCAAGTCCCCGACCAAATCTCCCGCTCTTCCCCCACCCTCATCTGTTCCCTCTGATCTCCCTTTAGGATGAAGTGAAACTGCCGGCCAAAGTGAGCATAGGCAAGTCGCTGAAAGAGTCGGAGACGCTGCCCGAGAAGGAGGGCGACGAGCTGGCCGAGGGCGAGAGGCCGGAGGAGGACGCGGCGGCGCTCGAGCTGTCGTCGGACGAGGCGGTGGAGGTGGAGGAAGTCATCGAGGAGTCGCGCGCCGAGCGCATCAAGCGCAGCGGCCTGCGGCGCGTGGACGACTTCAAGAAGGCCTTCTCCAAGGAGAAGATGGAGAAGACCAAAGTGCGCACGCGCGAAAACCTGGAGCGGACCCGCCTCAAGACAAAGGAGAACCTGGAGAAGACGCGGCACACCCTGGAGAAGCGCATGAACAAGTTGGGCACGCGCCTGGTCCCTGCCGAGCGCCGCGAGAAGCTCAAGACCTCGCGAGACAAGCTGCGTAAGTCCTTCACGCCCGACCACGTGGTCTACGCGCGCTCCAAGACCGCGGTCTACAAGGTGCCTCCCTTCACGTTCCACGTCAAGAAGATCCGCGAGGGCCAGGTGGAGGTGCTGAAGGCCACGGAGATGGTGGAGGTGGGCGCCGAGGAGGAGGAGGGCGGCGCGGAGCGCGGCGAGGCGGCAGACCTGCTGCGCGGGAGCAGCCCCGACGTGCACACGCTGCTGGAGATCACGGAGGAGTCGGACGCCGTGCTGGTGGACAAGAGCGACAGCGACTGAGCCGGGCGCGGGGCTGTGCCCGGAAGACCGCGCCGCCCCGCCTCTCCCCGCCCCCGCCCCGATTCCTTTCCCTCCACGAACTTTCTCTTTCGCATTCTCTCTCTCTCTCCCTCTCTCTCTCTCCGCCCCAAACGGGCTGAGATGTTTCTAAATTGAGAACACCTCCCCACAACGAGCACCCCCTCCAAGTCTTACAGCTATTAAGACGAGGGGGAGGCAGCCTGCACCATGGACAGCCCCACTGTAGGCGTAGGCTGGGTGGAAATGCAGAGGGCGGTGATTCGTGTCCTGGTGATCCAAGTCGGGAATCCTAGAGGAAATTGCTGTCGTTTCCGTGATTAGGCCCAGGCTTGGGGCAGGCTGCCTTCTCCCCGCCCCCAACCCCTACACACGCACATTTACCCGGCTGCTGTCATTCCTGTTCACTGAGCTCTTCTTTCTCATCCTGATCTCTAGCGGCTTCAAAGCCAAAATTACCATGAAAGGGAAGAGTGCATCCTGAAGAGGCCCCTTGCCCACACGGGAGACCCCACACTGGAAGGATTTGAAAGCAGCTTTTGGGAGTATCTAGGGCCGTGCGGGAGAGAGGGCAGAGTAAGCCATGACCCTACATGAGGGTCTAGCACAGGCTGTATCTGCAAAAGTTCCCAGTAAGGAAGGCTGGATCTAGGCAGAGTGCTGGGGGAGGGAGGGAGGGCACTTCATGTTTATGCATCTGCACACAGGAGCACATGGCTATGGCTCTGAAGAAAAACGGAAAATAGTAGAAGGTGGAAATGGGCGAAAAGAGAATGCTCATTAGTAGCAGGAGAAACACAGGACAAGGATCCCATCTTACTGGGGTTCACAGAGGACAGCAGGCAGGACAATTTTTCAGAACTACTAGGGAGGGCAGTGTGAGAAATCCATCATCCAAGAAGAGAGCGGTAAGCTTTACCCCTTATCTGTACTGGTTGTGGTGCCCCCAGGGGCAGCCCATTTCTCATAGCCCAGAATATTAGGGTCCCAGAAGAGGGCAGCACCAGGCTCCAGAGAGCTGGTATTATAGTTAGGAGGGAGGCTGATGGGAAAGAGACCAGATGCTAAAGGCCAGGCCACCAAATTGAGAGCAGGAGGGGAGGAGAGGAGAGTAAGGAATTCCTGTGTGTAGGGCAGCCCAGCCTTGGCTCACTCCTGGCAGTTTCTTCTCAAGATCCTTCCATAGAGCTAGTATCATAAAGCTGTAGAACATGCCAAGACCTCCTTAGCCTTGTGGGTTCCTCTCCTGAATCTTTGGGGTGAGGGGTGCTGCTTCCAGTTCAAAGGCCTGACTGCTGATCAGGTTCTTCTCAGGACACTTCAGTCTGTTCTTCCCCCATAAAGAGGACTTGTCAGAAGCAAGGACACCCCCCTCACCCCCAACTCACAGCCCACAGAGGAGAGCTGAAGGCTCCCTCCTCCCCTCACATCCTCTGCCTTATCTTCCCTGCTCTGCATTTTAGAAAATTGCAGCTAATTGTTTTAAGGGGTGGCGGGAGGGAGTCTGGGGACACACCTTTTATACAACACAAAGCTTTGCTTCCCCCTGCTCCCCAACCCTTGGTTCCCTTCTCTCTTCCAAATGGTTGGAGACACATCAGCTGAAGTAGGATGGGGATTGTGGGACGAGGTTCCTTGGTGCTGATGGGCTGAAGGGGCCTGAGTTGTGGGCAGATACAGTTTCCTGTGGGCTCTGGGGAGCCTCTCATGTTGCTGTGTCCTGGTGAGCAGCCCGACCAATAAACCTGCTTTTCTAAAAGGATCTGTGTTGGATTGTATTCTTTGAAGGCAGTTTCATAGGATGAGTTCCAGCGAACAGGAGGGAACCAGGGATTGAAAGAGAGATGCTGCTAGTTTAAACGTGCAGTATCTGCCTGGATGGGAAGTGAGACTGGGGCGTTATTATCCCACTTAGAAATGGGAAGACATACACATAGAGTAACTTGTCTAACGTCCCATAGGTGGTAAGTGGTGGGGCTGGGATTCTAAGGCACCCTGGCTCCAGTTTCACCGTGTCTGTAGTCCTGTAGTGTCTAGACCGCTTCTCTGCCTTCAGGGCCTTAGCCCTCCAGACCCACCCAGTTACTCTCCTCCGCCTGAGCTCTGCCCCCTTACAAATTCAGGCTGCCAAATCCGTCCTACAGGAGGCAGCCTAGGGGAGGGGAAAAGTCAGAGGCCTGAATATCATAGAAGGATTCCGGTGCATGCTAGAGATGCCAGTCATAGCCACACAGCATATTTCATTCTCCCTACAGCCCTGGGACAGGCACTTCTTTCATTGTCTGTACACCCTCTCTTCCCTATGAGCAGCCAGCCCTACCTGCTCACAAGTTAGGGATTTCCTAGAGCAAAGGAAACAAATTGTCATGTGAGTTCTGCCAGCATCAGAATCACCTGGGGAGGGGTGTCCAAATAAAGACAAAGTCATTTCTGGGGCTGTGTCCTGGCCTCGTAGTACCACCCCAAACAAGCTGAGTCCTTCCTCAGGAACCATCCATTTACCCTGGACTTCCCTGCTGCCGACCCCAGCAGCAAGCACGGCAGTCTTGGGTTCTAAGTCCCCCAGAAAGGGTTGGCATTCCTCAAGAAGAAACTGAAGATGAAAATTCAGGGCCTGGGAGCCAGGAAACTTCCCCTTGGTCAGGAGAAGCATGTTCAGGATCCTCCTTCCTGCAGGATGCAGAGGTGCAGCTGTGAGAAGCAGGGAATGATGACAGGACCCCAGCTGTGGAGTAGTGAGCTTGAGGGAAACCAGGAAGGGCCCTGGGATACCAGGCCATTGTTTACTTTTCTTACTCAAAGCAGTAAGTTTCCTGGTCCTTTCCCCTTTGCTTCTGTAAGCCATCCTGCTCACTGGCCCACCACACTTTCAGTACCAGCCAAATTACTTTGCTGTAACTTCCCTACCCAGCTCTATTATGGAAACCATTTTGTCAGAAGTAGCCCTAATTATCTGAAGAGCCACTTTTCTGCCGGCCCCTGTTCCATGACATTCCTCCTTTACATCACAGTGTGGGGCCACAACTCCAGAAGCTCTGCTCAAGTCAGAAATTATTCCTTTTCTTCTTTGCTTGCAGCCAAAGGGAGGAGGAGGCTTTCATGAAATAGCTTCCTACCAATAGAATTTAGTGGACATTCCAAGGTTCCATTCCCACAAAGCATCTTTTCCACCAACTGGTCATCATCTTGCCCACCCATCATTAGCGCTATTTCAATGGGTTAGAATCAGACAATAAACTAGAGGTATTGTCTCTCGAAGGATCCCATCAAACATTATCTTTGTTGACCAAAAAAAACAACCACAACCTAAAAGTTGAGAGTTATGTTTTCTTTGGCAGACATTATGAGGGCTTCAAACCTGGGACACAGCATCTCAGATAACACTGAGAAACTGCTCTGAAGAGGCAAGAGGGAGGAACCAGGATATTAAGCAGTTTTGCAACAAAGGCCAGGTAGTCGGAACATTGAAGATTATTGTTAATTAAAGAAAACCAGACATCTCAAGTTAATGAAATTAGTGCTTCTTTATGTGTTGTTAGTCCTTCAGTCACGTCCTACTGTTTGCAACCCCATGGACTGTATGTAGCCTGCCAGGCTCCTCTGTCATGGAATTCTCCAGGCAAGAATACTGGAGTGGATAGTCTTTCCCTTCTCTGGGGGATCTTCCCGACCCAGGAATCAGACCGAGCTCTCTGGAGTTGCATGCAGATTCTTTATGTCTGAACCACCAGGTAAGCCCTTTTTATGGACGGGAAGGTGCAAAAGTCTGCACTCATTAAATTCATTCCGCTGACAGGCACCTCACCTGGGCCTGGTGTCCTGTGTTTTCTCATTGTGAGTCTCCTCAGGTGTAGGGCAGTGGGTATAGGGGGTGGGAGGGGAGGATTCCAGCAGTTTACTGCAGAATGGTGGGCGATCTTAATTTCAATCCTGAGTTCCCTCAGGACTCACTGTCAGGGCAGCTGTAATACAGCACCTTGATTCAACATCTTTTGTTTACTGATAATTGTTGTTTTGTTTAGTTGCTAAGTTGTGTCCACCTCTTTTGCGACCCCATGGACTACAGCCCACCAGGCTTCTCTGTCCATGAAATTTTCCAGGAAAATTCTCTAGGGAACCTTCCCCAGTTCAGTTTAGTTCAGTCACTCAGTCGTGTCTGACTCTGCGACCCCATGGACTACAGCATGCCAGGCTTCCCTGTCCATCACCACCCAGGGATCAAACCAGCATCTCTGCACCTGCACGCAAGTGGATTCTTTACCACTGAACCACCAGGGAAGCCCTTACTGATAATGGCAGGCAGCAATCTTTTGTCCACACCAGGGATTTAAGGGAGTTCCTCTACAGACTGAGTTATCAGGTCTCTAAATAGTACTTCCAAAGTCCTTATCCCAAGAGGTAACTTTCTTCAGGGGCAGGAGAAGACAGCTGCAGCATCTTACATTTGTCCAGACCTCATTTGCTCTCACCTGCAATATTTGATGGAGAAGGCAATGGCACCCCACTCCAGTACTCTTGTCTGGAAAATCCCATGGACAGAGGAGCCTGGTAGGCTGCAGTCCATGGGGTCGCTAAGAGTCGGACACGACTGAGCGACTTCACTTTCTTTTCACTTTCATGCACTGAAGAAGGAAATGGCAACCCACTCCAGTATTCTTGCCTGGAGAATCCCAGGGACAGAGGAGCCTAGTGGACTCCCATAGTGACTTAGCAGTAGCAGCAGCAGTATTTCAACTGCCTTTAGGTTCTTTCTAATCTATTCCCCATGTTACTGCCAGGTAGAGATAGATATATAAATATTTATGTTATTTATATAGTTTATTTATGTAGATATAGGTACATAGATTTTTTAATTTTTATGTTTTGGGTTTTTTTTAGATTTTCTTTTTTAAAGAAAACATACTTTCAGTTTAAATGTCTTCCTTTGACCAAAGGATTAAAGTCTTTGGCATGGCTCACAAGATACCTTAAGAGTCTGGCCCCATGGGACTTCCCTGGTGGTCCTGTGGCTGGGTCCACTTTGCAATGCAGCGGACATGGGTTTGATCCCTGGTCTGGGAACTAAGATCCCACATGCCTCGGAGCAACTAAGCACTTATGTGCTGCAACTGCTGGGCTCACAAGCCACAACTAGAGTCTGTCTGCCACAACTAAGCCCTAACACAGCCAAATGAATAATTTTTTTTAAAGAGTCTGGTCCCTGCCTCAGTTCTTACTGCTCTTCAATATGCTCTTTAGGAGTCTGCCGGTCAAAAATGGCCCACATGCTTTCAGCCCTGTGGGCCTTACCTCTCTCTGGAATAGCCTCCCTCTTTCCACCTCCCCTCATAAACCAACCTCTTCCCCAGTCATACTGATCATTTCCTTCTCAGGGTTCCCATAGGACTGTATGTCAATAAACATTTGTTGAACAAATTTTAAGACTTTATTGCAAGGCTCATAAACTCACCTCAGACTGACTTCAGCAGAAAAGCCAAAATGAAACAAAACAAACATATAAAAAACCCCACTAAAGCTGAAAATAAAAATCGAGGGAGTTAAAGTAATGGAAAAAGTTTCCAATGGTAGGTCCAGGAGTGTCTGGTTGCAAGTTCTGATGTAACATCACTAGGAATTTCTCTTCCTATCTCCTCTGCTGTGTTTTTCATTAGCAATTAGATTTTCCCCATGTGTTGGCAAAGATGACCATCAATAGCTGCAGGCTTACGGCTTGACAGCTCAACAACCCTAGTTAAGAGGATTTCTTGCCAAATCTTTCCAGAATTTCAGATACACTCCTGAGATGTCACATATTCAAATCACTGTGCCTTTGACCAAATCTAGGCCATAGACCGTTTCTAGGACCCATCTGCAGCATGGAATTGAGAGTGGAGGAAGGGACTTCCACGGTGGTCCAGTGGTTAAATTTTATTTATTTATTTATTTTCGGCTGTGATGGGTCTTCATTGCTGCTCGCCGGCTTTCTCTATTTGCAGCAAACGAGGGTTATTCTTTGCTGTGGTGTTCAGGCTTTTCATTGTAGTAGCTTCTCTTGTTGTGAAGCACAGGCTCTAGGTGTGTGGGCTTCAGTAGTTACAGCATGTGGGCTCAGTAGTTGTGGCTTATGGGCTCCAGAGCAAGCGTTCAGTAGTTGTGGCGCATGGGCCTAGTTGCTCTATGGCACGTGGGGTCTTCCCGGACCAGGGATGGAAATTGTGTCCCCTGCAGGCAGGGGACAGGCAGATTCTTAACTGCTGGACCACCAGGGAAGTCCTGTCCAGTGGTTAAGACCCCAAGCAATTCAGGGGGCACGGGTTTGATCCCTGGTCTGGGAACGAAGATCTTGCATGCTGCTCAGCAAGGGAAGCTGATTTCCCAAATGAAAAATGGGTTGCTGTTAGGGAAAGGAGAGAAGATGATGGGTGGACAAAGAATCAGGTGTTTTTTCCCATGGATCTATTTGTGATATTGTGCTAGCAGCCAAGATACACTATATCTAGCTCTTGATTTGAAACATTTTGCAATTAGTGGGAGAGGCAGATGTTCAAAATAACTCAAAGAGATATTTAGTAAGAGAAGTAAAACAAAATGCAATGGCAATACACTGAAAACAGATTCACCCTGCTTGGGGAATATGGGGAAACTTATAGAGGAAGAGGGCTTTTAAATTATAATCCTTCACAAAGGGTAGGATTTGACGTACATGTTGCTGGAGGGCAGAGACAATATTTTACTTGATTTTTGTGTCACCCAACACAAAACTGTTAACACCTAACCTAACCG